CCTCCTCAGTGTGCGTGAGGAATTTGAGATAACCACACATGTGTATGAGCCTTCGGAAACACACAGGAACCTGAACTCGCCGGTCAGAATCCACAAACAAACGCTGCATTTGTTTGTGTGCTGCATTAGCATTGGTTTGAATGAATTCTCTGCTTCACTGCAGATTTAAAAAGGCGCTTCTGACGGTTATTTTTAGCATGTTCACATATCTCCCTTCTGTCTCTACTCTTTCACTCGTTCTGTCTCTCTCTCCACCTCTCCCCCTTTCTCTGGCCCTTTTTCCTTTTATCTGTCTTTTGCTGTGTAAAGGTGCAAATAGCTCATACATTTCTGGCTGGTGTCTGTGCGTATGAGAGTTGGATAAAGGGTCCGGTTTTGTGCTAAACCTGCTTTTATGATGTGGAACACTGCTCTGTCTCTTTTTTTTTTTTTTTTTGCTTCCTTTGGTGGAGTGCTTCCGGGAGCGGGCTGGGTTTTGACAGCACCACGGACATTATTTAACTCGGGGTGGCCATTTTTGTGTGTCACTATTGCTGTTACTTGAAAATGCCTCATCCAATCCAATCATCCAATGGGGCTGGAATGGCAAGACACAAACGCGTAATCCTCTTCACCGCTATAGAAAAACCTCTTTAAAGCAGAATAGAGAGAAAGAGAGAGAGACAGATAATACACTGAAAGGTTACTCTTATTCATCCATGTACCAAAATTCCTCACCCCTGCTAATAATCATCCTTTTTGCATCCTTTCAAGGCAGCGTACATGTATTTGTGTTTTTGTACAGTGTGGGCTATATAACATTCTTAGTGTATGAATATTTTTTGTATGCATGGATATCTGCTGACCACTTGCCAAAATGTGCAGTATGGATACTCTGTGGCATTATTGACACATTTTTTGACTGAAACTTCTACACTAAATGAGAACTTTCACACAGACTAAAATGCTGGAGTTATACAATATGTAGGGCTATATGTGAATTGTTATCATGTTAAATAGAAATTCAGTCACATTAAAAAGGCTGTTTTTAGCCTTACGCTGGAGTTGGTTCACTTTCCGGCAATGAAACTAAGTAAATAAATAATTAAATAAATTAACACGATAATATCGTGCATCAGCGATCTCACAGGCTGACGATAGGATGATATGAAAATTGAGCATATCGCCCAACACTAGAAAGGACATGTCACCAAAATGTAGCATATTGTTGAAAATTACATACATAGCACACAAATATACTAAACACTGAATTTCTTCTCTTTTTGTACTCAGGCCGAAGCATTTGATCAGCGTATGAAATAAACACACTTCAGAACACACACACAGGCCAAAACTACTTCACTTACAACTTTGACTGTGATTCCCTCTGATCACTTCATCTCCACAGGGAACTGTTTCATTTACCTTCTTAGTCTGTTTAGATTTATAGTCAATCTGTCATTCTTGATGGTAAACTCACCCTGGCCTTCTGCATTCATTATGCGTTCATGGAAAAAGGGAGGCATCTCGACTACAAACCTTTCTCTTTACAAAAACAGCCCAAACATGGTTCTCTCGCACCATGCGTGAAACGTTCCTTGTGAATCTTTGATATGACACTGTAAGGATAAAAGAAACTCAGGAAACTCAGATACTTTGATATCCTGAGAAACAGACAATACACTGGCACCTTCAAGACACCCCACAGAGGGGTGGTGCAGGAAACGCCTCTCTCACATATGCATCAGTGCCTTTTCATCTGCTCCCTCCACTGGATTCACTCAGAATGGTCAATAGTAGAATGTTCTATATGAATGCAAATAAGATTTACAGTCATGTTTGGTTTCATTTGAATAGTATCAGGGCGAGTGGTACAATGGCCTTAATCTTACAAAAGTAGGCTAAAAGATAATACAGATCCTAAGAGTTAAGAGATACTTTGATTACCGTAGACACTGGATACCTTCCTTGGGCCAAGTGTGTGGACCTTACAACACCTAAACCAAACTGGAAACTTACGTGTACTTTAATGTTGTTACTAACAGCTAGGAAATGCAGTCATAATTGGGTCTTTTTTACAGTTTAGTGCCACTGAAAGTGGAATATAGGCTTTTACGTCTCCCCAATTGGGTTATTGTAATTCTTATATCCTAAAATCACTTTTCAGTATCTCTAAATTGAAAGAGAGCAGTACTCCACTTCTAGAGTTTCGGCCGTTTCTTCTTTCTGATTAAATTACTGTAATTCTTCTATTCCAGATGAGGTCACTTAAAGGGTTAGTTCACCCAAAAATGAAAATTGGCTTGTGCTTTACTCACCCTCGAAGCATCCTAGGTGTATATGACTTTCTTCTTTCAGACGAACCCAGTCGGAGTTATATTAAAAATTGTCCTGGCTATTCCAAGCTCTATCATTGCAGTCAGCGGGTGTTGCAGTTGAACAGTCCACAAGTCGTCAAATAAAGCGCGCGCATAAAAATATCCATATTTCAAACGTAATAAACACTTTTATATCACTTCCGCCAACTGTCATACATGGAAGCCGTTCCGGCGGATGACGCAGCACGTCGGCGTTGCGTGATAAGTGACGAACGCGGCGAGAGAACAAAACAAAACGCCGGAATTAGAAGTACAAACCGAAGATTTGCAAAGAAAAATGTCGGAGGATTTCGATATAAGCCAAGAGGAGACTGGTTTTCCTTTGCTAAAGTAAGGAAACTTTGCTTCCTTTGCTCCTATTAAACAAACTCGCGAGACTAGCATATCTCAGAGACGCGCATATGCTGCGCATACGTCATATGCCTTCCGCCGGGACGCCTTCCGAGTATGACAGATAACGGAAGTGAGAGAAAAGTGTTTATTTTTTACGTTTGAAATATGGATATTTTCCTTACAAAAACACATGGATTCACAACAGAAGGCCTTTATTCACCACCCCGGAGCCGTGTGAGGCACGTTTTATTATGAATGCGCGCGCTTTATTTGACGACTTGTGGACTGTTTAACTGCAACACCCGCTAAGCCAATTTTCATTTTTGGGTGAACTAACCCTTTAATGTGTTAAAGTTGAAGTAGAAAAGAACACCACATCTAGATGCTAATGCCTCAAAAATACTCAAAAAATGAAGAGAATAAATCAATAATCTTCTAAAATCTCGCTGATGGCTTCATATAATTCACAAAATAGATTTTACAATTCAATAACCAAGCTCTATACAGTTGAACAGCCACTAGAACTTCCTCCCTTTCTTTTCATCACAACATTTTCAACATCTTTCTTTAGGTTCTCTGAAAAAAGTCAGCTTTATAGATGAAAAATCAATAATTCAGGAAGTAACTTAGAATAGTGTTCCTTCTAAAACTCAAGACACCAGTAGTCATTTTTGATGTACTGTATTGTTCCTTGAAATAACTTGATTTACTGTATTATTCCTTGAAATAACTTAAAATTCATATATGTGTAGTTAAATATTATGTGAAGTTAAATATTAAGTTTATTTTAATGGTCAATAGTATAAATGTAAAAAACAAAAAAAACCTGCACAAGCATTCACACAGTAAATTTAAAGGAATAGTTCACCCACAAGTCTTCTGAAGCAACACGATAGCACTCAAATCTCATTTGCACATGCTTACATTCAAAAACGGCTTGTCAAGACATGTTGTGGCAGCTTTGGTGTGAGAATCATTGACGTTCAACTTCACTGATGCCAAATCTGGTGCAACATGACTTGAAAGTGCCCTTTATTTAAAGTGCCACTATTATGGATGTTTGAAAATTACCTTTCATGCAGTGTGTAATACAGCTCTAAGTGAATGAAAACATCCTGCAAAGTTTTAAATCTGAAAGTGCATTGTGCATAAAGTTATTGTCTCTCAAAAGAAAGAGTCGACTCTGAATCATTGAAACGAGTCGTTTTTAAAACAAATTCCAAGCCGTTTCATTTTGATGTCAACATGAAACATGAGCATATTGCCCGCCCACTTGTTGGTCTTTTC